TTATATCCTTACTCTGTCCTGGACATTGAGTTCTACCTGGATTCTATCCTCTCGGAATTTTTTATTCAAAAAATATACATGTATGTGTATGCACCTATGTATATATAGTTATATATTTTGCATATGTATGTGTATATTTACCACTAATATTATTCTATCTATCTATCTATCTATCTATCTATCTATCTATATATATATATATATATATATATAGTGATGAAATAATTAATAATTCGAATGTAAGTATGGTTAAATTGTTTGGACAACTTAGCAAATTTCTCCCCCGGTTTATATTTGCCTGTTCAGTTCGTCGCGTCAACAATCTGGTTCACCTGTAATCAATTACCATTGGTCATCTTTTCTTTCCTGATGTCCTTCCACGCGTTTATTCATCGGTGTGTACAATATTTTATTCTCGTCGATCGAGTTCTGACGATTGTGGAGAGATAACTGGTTAGTACATATTTTTTTACTAATGTCTTCGTACCAACTACTGCTGTTGTGGTATTTGCTTTTGACGCTTTATAATTATTCTCATCTTTATCGCTGTATTAACATTTTACCTTCGGTGTGTATGTGGTATCGATCAATGACTAGTACATTTGAAGGAACTATACTTTTATTTCAGGCATCAGTCAAGCTATTTTAGGATTTTATTATTGTTCATACATCTCTTAGTGGAATATATGGGGCGTCCACAGAAAGATAGTAGCCTTATTGTGGGGCTGGGTGCCTTGTCATTTTTAGGACAGCCGTCCGCTCTTGGTTGACATATAGCACTCAGCTGTAATCAGTGTCTCTCCAAATCTATTAACATGCAACAGAGGATACATCCTGCGCAAAGGCTCTGACACGCCGCCGCTGATTTACGCTTGACTAACCTAGTATACGAAGACTGCACCCGGTGAAATGAGCGGGAGAGATCGCTTGTTCCAATGGGCACGAAGGTTCCGAGAGCTGGTGTCGTGGAGCGCCAAAGCGCGGCAAGACAGGGAGGGCGTCATCTATATCTACTACAGCTGAAGTAGTCCCTAGTCGTGACGGTTCGTCGGGCCATTGGGAATTGACTTCCTGGGTCGAGAGTGTGGGATCGTCCACGTCGTACAACGTCACTTCCCCATTATAAATAAAATCCAGCATAGGTGTCTACGTACAACCTTTCTGAACATTTCAAGTTCTTCTGAAACCTTTCTGGACAAAATTTTGAACATCTAATAAGATTTTCATTTTGTTTTTTTTTTTGTTTTTTTAGATTTTTTTCTCTTTTCACTTCTTTTCTGAATGCAAATTACTTTAGTTGCAGTTTTCTTTTGACACTTTTTATTATGGATGTTTTAATTGTATTAATTAAAGTAAGTATTTCTAATCAATTAAATTAGGTAAATTCTTTAAAAATGAATACATGAATAAAGAAACAAAGAAAGAAAAAAATATTTACTTACCTGGAATGCGTTTAGCGTTCCGAAATATATTGGAACAAATGCTAGCCAGATAATGCAAGTTGTATACATTGAAAATCCTATGAATTTTGATTCGTTAAAATTTTCTGGTATGTTTCGTGTCTTGACTGCGTAAACAGTACATATGATAATGAGGAGCATATTGTATATTAATGAAACAAGGAAGGAGATATCTCGTGTTTTGCACTTAAGAATAACTTCGTTCCTTTTGTTATAAGGGAAGTAGTGTCTGGTACCAGGCGGTTCGAGCACCAACCAGATCACGGTAAATACGATTTGAATCGAAATTAAAATACTAGCAATGGCTATCTGAGAGCGTGGACTGATGAACGGAGGTCGCCGGGCCGAACGCCGGGCGTTGTAAAATATCCGGGATATTCGATTAGTTTTTGTAAGAAGCGCCGAATATATGATAGCGAAACCAAAACCGACGCCAATTCGCTGTACCGAGCAAATAAACATTGATGGTTTAGCGATCAGAATAAATGACATTAGATAACAAAAGAGACAGCCGCTGAGGAGCATGTAGCTCAATTCGCGGCCCGATGCCATGACCACAGGCGTGTCATTGTAGCGGACGAAGGTCACAATCACAGTGACCGTGCCGATTATACCGAGGCAGGAGAGTGACATCGGTACAATGGCATAGATACTGTCCCATGTCATATGCTGTAATTCCAAGTCGAAACAACTGCGCTTGGTGGCGTTCGGCCAGCGTCCTAAGCCACAGTCCTTACACGTATATTCATCATAAAGGTATTCCCAATCTTGGCACTTGATACAAATCCAACAACAAGTGTCGTGAACTGACTTGATTTCATCATAATTACACGGACGACTGCATCGTGAAACAGGAATATTCGATATACCACCGCTCCAGGTTATATCATCTTCACTCAATTCAAGGCCGTTCGTACTCCACGTTCCAACGTTCTTATATTCGTAGGCCTTCTTTGTTTTGTTGTAGCGGTAGTTAAAGATCATGTAGCGGCCGAGTGCATCGCCATGTTCATCAAATTCGACCCGAGCACCGTAGCCATCTGAAACAATAAAAGAAAAACATTATCAGTTACAGTTGATTCTAAGCAATATAATTTATAAGAAGGGGTCAAACTTCAAATTAATAAAGAAATTTAATGCAAGAACCACTAAATACGTGGCCTTTTTATCTGGAAAGTTTCTAAATGATTTATTGAAATGCTAATAAATTGAATCGTTTCGAAACAGTTTTCCTGTTATTTTTGCTCTCATCACAAAACAGTATGCTCCGGTTTATTTCTATTAGGTTTTCTGAGATGAAATATTTTCACGACTCCATATTGATTTTTTTTAGGACCAGTTTCATCATTCTCGTCGCCTTACTGCAAGCTTTTTTGTTTCATTATCCTCCAGCATTTCTCGTGTTTTATTATTATTGTTATTATTGCTGTTATTATTATTTTATAATATATTTTATCTATTGTATTTTTCATAATTTTTGTCGCTCATATAACTATTTATCCGCACCCCCACTTCGCAATAGAATATGTTACAAGGTCGAAGTTTAAAGTTGAAAGGCGTTCAAAAATTGCTCAAGATTCCTCGCCATTTCATTTTTTGAAGACGCCGATTAATGACCCTAGACCCGACCAGAAGAAGAGTTACTGCCTGGGAGGATGGTTCCCTCTGGAGCTTGAGCTAATTGTCTCTCATACATATAACGTTCACGGCTTCCAGTACAAAGATAGATAATACTATTCGTCTCATTTTCAGTAATGTCATTTGTAGCAGTAACAAGAGAATCCAAGAAAGGTTTTCGATATTTTGTAAGGTTAATTTTATTGTATAAATTATTTCGATATTGATGCTATTTGTTTGTCAGAGTATATACGTTTTATTTGCAAATCCAAATTTCTTCGTCTTGGCTGACTTTATCACAATATTTTCGGCTTTACTGATATATATATATATATATATATATATATATATATATATATATTAGTGATTAATGCACACACATACACACAAACACCCCCACACACACACACACATATATATATATATATATTATTAGTGGTTAATGCACACACACATACACACAAACACACACACACACACAAAAACACACACACACACACACATATATATATATATATTTATATTAGTGGTTAATGCACACACACATACCCCCCCACACATATATATATATATATATATATATATATATATATATATATATATATATATATATATATATATATATAAAAATATATAAATATATATACATGCATATAAAACTTTGCAAGAGGATAGAACCCAGGTAGAACTCAGTGTCCAGGACAGAGTAAGAGTATAATTTAATTTAGGTCAGCGATTCAGTAATGAATAATGCATCGGAAAATAACTCATATTTATCTGTATCTCACTCATTTAAACCGTCTTTTAACCCCACTCTTTAAAACTTTTGTCTGTTAAATTTTAATCCCCACCTTCACTTTTAGGCCTTCCTCTTCTTCGCTCATCTGTTACCGCTCTCTAGAGCTTTCATTTACCTCTCACATTGGTCTCCCACTCTCATTCATATATACACTCTCACTAAGTTTTATTTTTTATTCCCGGAGTTATTTTTTCTGATTTCTTTTTCAATTTGTAGGTCTGATGAAGTGGATCTTAATTACTATTCCAATGTAATAAATTATAACCATGGAATATTAGTGTTTAAGCCTTTATATATATATATATATATATATATATATATATATATATATATATATATATATATATATATAACACATATAACAATTTCGTTGATTCATAACTTTTCAAAATTCTCACTTGATTAATTTGAACACGGACTCTCAGCATCGCGGCATCGCACGCTACAAAACATATTTAACTGTCAATAAATAGAATAATTTAAAAGAGAAAACGTCTTTCGGTCTACAGATATTTCTTTTTCGTGTTTGCCTATGTATAGAAAAAAATGCGCTCTGAAGATGACAATTTGAAATGGTTGAAAGTACTCAGCACATGTTTTCCATCTGACTCGAATATAAGGATAGTCAAGGAATTGACAGTAAGTTAGTGTCCCATTAAATCTTGTTAGCGGAAGTTATTTCGCCATTAATCACATTAGCATTGCTATCTAATTCTGTGTATAAATTGTTTATATATATATATATATATATATATATATATATATATTATATAATATAATATATTAGAATATTTTTATAATATTTATTGCGTACTACTTTCCTTGTTTTAATTACTTTATTTTTATTATTCTCTCTTCGACTTCCCTCTTGTTGTCCCTATAATACTGGTTTGTCCCTATAATATATTTTGTCCCTATAATACATGTTTTTTTGGGGTATAAGGAACGTAGAGCCTGGTCAGTAACAAGATGGGTGGACGCTTGTGAATACCAGGTGTTGTAAACTTGGGTGTGCAGGTGGAGTAATGAATAATGGATCGGAAATGCTCATCGGAGAGTCGAGTTCCAGTTCCCTTTACACTAAAGGACCCTTGGAAAAGAAGTCCATCTCTTCTCCACCAGCTATGGGTTAATTAGTAAAACTTGAATCATCAAACCATTATTTATCTACCCACCCACACAGCCAAAAAAAAACATTCGTACAATCTAAAAATAAACATTTTTTCTGGATTTAAATTCGACACTATCAATTTATTCTTAAGTGGCTCCCGAGAGAATTACACAAGACATACTCTAAATAGTTCTTTATGAGGTCTTGAAGAGAATTTCAGTAGTCAACACTGCGAACGATTCTTTATCAGGTTTCCAAGGACATTTCGAAATTCATCATTTTTAATTATTCCTTATAAGGTGTGCGTGAGAAGTTAACATCAGATTTTTCTCATGAGTTTTTCGAGTAAATTTCTGCCAATTTATTAGTTATGGGGTATCTAGGGAATTTCGACATTAATCACAGACAAATATTGATGATGTTGACTTATTTTACTAGAGTACAATATAACCTAACATTATCCATGACTTTCGAGGAACTATGTTATAATCCTAGCTTTCATAGAACTATATGAACATCTTAGATGAACCTAGACGAGGCATGGTGGAGTAATGTATAGCGGCTCGGATTAAAGAACCGGAGATTCGATTTCGAATTTCAGGCAAAATGCATTACATTCACTTATGTGTTAATACTCCTTGGGAGAGATATGAATCCTCTTCTTCACCCACCCCCAGCTATGGGTAAATAACAGAGCAGAACGTTTTCTGAAGCCTTGGATGGCAACTAGTTTACCGCAGAAAGAAATGGCAACCTACCACGGGAAAAAAATCTGCTTCGTCAGTTATGTATCAAATGATACATGATCGCCTAAGCGTGTATCATTCATGGCACATAAATGACTGACTTATTACCCTTTATAAGAGCCAGAGGGTCTCATAATGAGAATGTTCTAACCATGTTCCCATGTTTCTTTTCATTATTTCATTCTAATAACAGCTCGGACTAAAGAACTGGAGAACCGAGTTCGAATTTCAGTCAAATCCATTATATTCACTTATGTGCTAATACCCTTGGGATAGTTATGAATCCTCTTCTTCTTCCCCCGGCTATGGGTAAATAGTAGGACACACCGGGTTTTATAGCGTTCGATGGCAACTAGTCTACCGCAGAAAGAAATTGTAACCTACTGCGGGAAAAATCTGCCTCGTCAGTCAAGTATCGAAAGGATATGTGATCGCCTTAGCGTACATCACGCATGACACATAGCTGAGTTGAACCCGGAAAACATTTACTGAGATTTATATGAGCACCACGTCAGTTCGATGAAACTTTCTCAACTTTTGTAACAGCAGTTCAAATATTGTGGGAGTGCTCTTCCGCTTCTGTTTCGATTCGTGAGGATTTACATCCGGTCCCTGTAAGTTTGTGTTTCCGGTAGCATTTCATATCTGTTTTCTTTGAGTAAGATTTCCTTCCCCTCATGCCAGTTGCTTTAGGATTAAAAGATAGAAAAAATGTATTAGGACCTTGAATAAGTTCTCGCTGATTTGCAACAGATAGTGTTCGTGAGTGCGTGTAGCTTCAGATTGTAGCAATAAGGAAGTACATTAAGAAAGCTTGAAATTCAGTGTATGTCATGACGCTGAAGTGTTAACAACTTTATTTTTCATAGCGTTAAACATGTTGAAGAAAAAATGGCCTCTATACGAGCAGAGACACGACAAAGTCATTTTGCAACATGACAACGCTAGACCACATGTTGCAAAACGTGTGAAAACCTACTTGGAAACGCTTAAATGGGAAGTCCTACCCCCACACGCCGTATTCACCAGACATTGCCCCGTCCAATTATCACTTGTTACGATCGATGACACATGGCTTTGCTGAGCAGCCCTCTAATTCTTAGGAAGATTCCAAAAAACGGGTCGACTCGTAGTTTTTCCGACGTGGAATTCAAATGCTTTCAGAAATATGGGAAAAAGTAGTGGCTAGCCATGGATAATAATTTCAGTGATATGTCGATATTTCTGAGATGAGGTATTATGTACAGTATTTACATTAGTCGGACTATTGTCCTCATCTTTGTCGCCATATTTATCACAACATTTCGGCCGTTGTTCAGGTGGTTGGAATTTCGAACTGAACCCTTTATTTCGATCACTGGGGTAGACTGTTTTAGTTCCACGTGCTATGTTTGATGGATGTCAGTTATCTCCTACTAATTTTCCCTCTGAAAGTTCACCACTGCCTTAACCAGGTATTGAACTCACCTTCTTTGGGTCTGACACTGGATCTAACCAACGCCTTTATCCACTGTACCATGTGTCCTTGAGGACCTCTGGGTATGAACTTCTGAGTTCTGAACCTAATGTTTTCAGCATCATTTTTACCAGATATTGCAATTTTGCTGTTATCATTGCATGTCTTTACCAGAGTTCATATTGCAACTTTGTTATCATTGCAAAGATGAGGACAATAGTGCGACTAATGTAAACACAGTGATATGTTTCTTACTAATTTTTTTTAAATAAAACATTACTTTTCATGAAAATTCAGCGACTACTTATTCA